TTGGAAATATGCTGATAAATATATAATTTTATGGGGCAATAATACTCCTAAATGTTGTTTCGTGAAAATAAGACTATTTTCGTAAAATTTGATCCTAAAGTGTTTTTTTTTCAAAATTATCAACAAATGTGGCGATTTTTTCTTATTGATACCCGAAGCCAGCTGTGCTGGAACTATCATTTTATCTCGTAAAACTTGGAAATGTGCGAATAAATATTCAATTGTATGGGGCTATATTACTCTCAGATGTTATGTCGTTAAAATAAGACCAGTTTCGTAAAATTTGATCCAACAGTTATTTCTAAAAATATCAACAAAGGTGACTATTATTTTGTTATTTATACACAAAGCCAGCTATGCTAATTATTGCAATCTGTTTCGTCAAAACTAGAAATTTACAAATAAATATGTCATATTATGGGGATATATATTACTCCCAATTTTTTTGTGAATTGTATTTTTGGAAATCGTGTGTGGACACCTGTGGTGTAACAACTTCTTGTTTACAGGATGTCAATTAAAACTCATTATTTATAACATGTTCGTGATTTACCTGGTCATCGAATAATTCAAACCTAATATACATGTCACACTGTGAAATTATGTCTCCGAGACAGGTGTATATTCAATGGAAACCTATTATGAAACTATCAAATAAAATGAACTCTGACACAATTTATCAAGTGTTAATTATTTACTATCAGTTTTTTTTTAAATACAATATCAAATTATGTCTCTTTTTCTATAATACAAATCTTAAATCAAAATTACATTAAAATAAATAATTATATATGAACTCAAATTATTTAATTAATTATGATAAATTTAACACTGAAACAGTTTATGTTATGCTTAAACATTCGTCCTTACTTCGAGTACTTTTAATACTTTTATTCATGACTTTATTACCTAAGGAGATCTCGCGAGGTTTAACTAGTGGCCGCGTGTTTTTACGGGATTTCGCCGAGTTGCGAATCTCTTGTATTATATGTCTCTGATATAGCGGATGTGGTTGAGTTGTCTAGAGCGCTGGACATGAGGCTAAGCAATTGGTGCTGTAGTGTATCAAAGGTGTGAGTTCGAATCCCGTTGAGGGACAAATATTTGTCAGCATAAAAATCTAACTCTAACACTGTTGGGTTCAATTTTCAGACTTGTATAAATATTTGTATTTACCCTGTATCTCAAACATACTGAGATCCAGAGGGCATATATATTGTATGGTTGTCACTTGCTTAGACTCGTTTGTATGATATACTTATTTCTAGTGACTGTATAATGAATTGAACCATTATCCCATACGGTATATAAAAAATTGTTGAGTTAGATTGCTGAAAAATATAAATATATTGTGTATAAAATAAATAATATAACATCTACACACGCTTAAAACACATGGTTATGTCTATCTCTAGATTCGCCTTACGTTACAAGGTAACACTAGTCTACGACTATTGAAGTTATATTTTTATAAAGACGTTACCCACGTTATTGCGTCAATACCGTGTAATCAACCAGTCCACACTAATAAACAGCTTTTCTATAAAATCATAACAGTGAAGTTATATAAATTTTTTATCCATAGACAAGACTAGTAAAAACTATTCCGAAAAAAACTACAAACTGTTTTATCATATTTTACAATAGTCTAAAATAAGGACAACATATTGACAAAACGTCCAAAATATGCGTGTCAGACGTAACAGACTATACGCATAATAACTTTAGCAGGGGTGTTTGTGTTCTTCAAAACAGTGTTATATCCACGAAAATTCGAATGAATGATATGCTTTATATATGAAGTATTACAATATTACTGAATATGCATTCCTGTAACAACCAACGTTATTTTTTGGCAAAAACAAAAAGTGTCCATTATGGTCAGATTTAGGAAAATCTTAAGTTATCAAAATTTATAGGTTTCAAAATGTAAGATTATATGAAATTTCGTTTGTGTAAATTATGCTCACAAAAGTACATATATAGACCATATCAAAATCGAATTTTTGCAGCACTCACACCACATATAAAAAGGCAACGGCTTCTGGCAAATGTCTTGCAAGATGTCCAATGTCGGATTTCGCAGCTTTTTACTAATAAACTGTCATTTGCGACGTTATTATTGAAAATTGAGATTTGTTGCATGCTAAATATTGCTTTTCCGTAATTGTACTTTAACTCTACGAAACAGCTACATACTTTTTGATAATTTGCGTAGTCAAAACGACTTCGTTTTCAAAGAAATGAAATGTCTTGCAAGTTTGTCCACTGGACGATTTTCATACGTTTTGAACGTTGTAAATTCGGGACGCTATTTATGGTGGATCATCTGTATATATTTCCTCAGATAGAATTTTCTTGATAGTCAGATACTATCAAAAAGACCACAAACTATAAAAAAAAATCCGATGGCTGGGGTTGTTCGTTAAGATGAGGTTCTTTAGTTGTGAAAAAATTGTGTATTACGAGAGGATAAAAAATAATCTTTTTCAAATTTTTCAAATTTGGGGAGCGTAAAACTGCGATTTTTTTTATTTCTCTGCAATAAGATTCATATGTATAGAACTTGAAAGTAAAAATAAAATTGGACCTGAAGCGTGGCTATATACCTCTCCATATCATACAAGGCTTGTAAACATGTGAGATGAATAGAATTAACCTTTTTTCTGACAATCGTTTCATCTTAATCTAATTGTTCCGTTATTAAAGAAAGTACAGTGAATTTTATAAGCAAGACCCGTTTAACTTGTAATTCCCGACAAACATTTTTTAATTAAATCAAAATATATATCTTCTTCCTTTTCGGATCAAAATGGGGAAACATTGCATTTATTACGTTTTATGTCAATTGGTCTCTGGTAGAGAGTTGTCTCATTGGCACTCATCATACCGTATATATCTTCTTTTTCATATAGACTTATACATTACCCAAATACGATATATTTTGTTGTTTGTTGCTTACGTTACTTTCAGTGGGAAATATTTCATGCATATTCAGTACAACCAAACATTAAGAAGTATCAATATTGATGTGCAAAACAGAAATTGCAAGCGAAATAAAAAAAATATCCCCAATATAATCATGATAATCATTAATCGCCGTAAAACGTAAAAAAAATGACGTTACCATTTGAGACGCAATATCGTGCGTAACGTCAAAGCGGATGTGGTCGAGTGGTCTAGAGCGCTGGACATGAGGCTAAGCGATTGGTGCTGTAGTGTATTAAAGGTGTGAGTTCGAATCCCGTTGAGGGACAAAAATTTGACAGCATAAACATCTATTAGTAATTAACTCTAGCACTGTTGGGTTCAATTTTCAGACTTATATAGATATATGGACCTTTTGAGTCTGAAATAAAGATTATCTTATCTTATCTTGTATGATATTAACTTATTAATGATTATAAATTCCATCGGCTGATATTAACTAGGAGATTACAAAATAATTCAACACCGCAACATTTGTCACTGCAAAATATTCACTGAGATTATCGCAGTTTTCGGCTCAGCACATTACCAATCATACTGGCACTTTCCTCCTCTACCTTTATTTGTAGGATTAATAATTTAATATATATTCACACCCATTTCAAACCCCAGCTTGCAGTCTTTTAGTCAACTTTCAGACTCATTCACTCCGGTAAATTCAGTACTGTTCAAACAATTCGCATGTAGTCAATTAAGATCAGTTCAATATATGTCCAGACTGTTCAGTAGTTCTTTTTTACTTATACACATAAATTATACTGAATGTTCTAAAAAGTTACTGAATAATATTGAATTGACTGCAATCAAACAGTTACTGTACTGAATTTTAGCAATCGATTAGTCTTAAAACTGACTGAAAAACTGAACATGACTTAATAATCTTTTGCAAACTTTTCTGATGTTGTTAAGATCTAAATGACGAATTTTCTAGCCCTGAAATTTGACCGAATGTGAAATTTCTAAATTGCAACAACTTTATCATGACAAAGAATAAACAAGACTGTTACTGGTATAACCAGCACAGACATTCATAAAATGAAATGCTCAAAGAACAACACTTTAAATAACTACAGGAAGAGCAACACGAACACCTTTTCAACAAAACTGGAGGTAATCTCAGGTACACCGGAAGGGCAAGCAAATCCCACTCCACATTGTGCACCCGTACTGTTGCTCATGTAAGTACAAATTCAGTGATAAATGTAGTTCGGTGATGTCATAGTCGAGAAACATGACGGGATTGTGGTTAAGACAATTGGAACATATCCGTTGTCAACGTTATGATTCAGTATATAATACAGTATAATATATTTTGTGTTTTTGTTTGACACCGTTATATTAAAAGTTAAATGCTTTTCTTGTGTCGGTTTGTATTGTATGTTCTTTTATGTACGCTCTATTAATCTACTGATCGCGACTAAAAAGGGGGAGGGAATTTGAGACCTAATTAAACTAGTTTAACACGCCCGATTTTTATGAGCCTGTCCGAAATAAGTAGCTGCGCCAGTAATTATTGTATGTCATATCTTAATCTTTTATCATGATTTGGAGAATTGGGTGTTGATGGCAGATCTTTAATAGTTTCTGTAAAATTTATTCTTAATTTGAATAGTTTCTGGACGATATATAACTTGTCATACATGTACAAGACACCTGTCTATTGTTGAAAATTGTATGTTGCCATGTAAATGTTTTTATGTTATTTTTTGTCGTTGGGTTGCTGTCTCATTGACGTATACCCTTCATCTCTCGTGTTGATCTTTTTATCTTTAAATTCACAATTTAGAAACTACAATGAATTTCAATATATTTCATACGTCGAAGATTGTATTTTTAATTTATGCATTGATTTATAATTTATAATTTATATCTTTATATTTTGCATTTCCTTTGAAAGATTATTCCAAAATAAGATATCTATTAGACAAACGGAAACAGAAAGTCAGTTGATATTTATTTTTAATTATGAAATAAGGAAGAAAAAATTTTAAAGTTTGTAAAAATATAACCTTCCTTATACAATTATTTCCGCATTGTGTGTAAATACAGAATATGATTTGCGCATTCGTGTGATTATAGTCTGTATGTGCATTTGTATGAATTGTATAAATATTCGTATGAACATAGGAGAACCTTGTACCACATAGAAAAAAATCTCATTTAGGAATCTTGTGAAGCCATAGATAAAGATGAACCGGATTAATTGTATCAGAATTGGAGGAAGTACACCCACAAGAGATCTTTTCGCCGATATGAATGGACGTCGGCCAGTTAATAATGGTATGTGGGGAAATAATATGGATCACATGGATATTAGAATTGCTAGGTTACTGGCGCAGCAGAATTCTCCTATAGGTTTCGACGATGACTCTAGCGACTCGGACGACTCGGAAGGTAAACATCTTCATATATATATTAGTAAAATTGAGAATGGAAATGGGGAATATGTCAAAGAGACAACAACCCGACCAAACAGCAGACAACAGCCGAAGGCCACCAATGGGTCTTCAATGCATCGAGAAAATCCCGCACCCGGAGGTGGTCCTCAGCTGGCCCTTCGTACACTTTTTGCATAGTCTGATCTAGATTAAAAACCGGGAGAGTTAAAAAAAAAAAGATTAAGCCCACCACATCTTTATGTTCTTGTCCTCAGTTAGATTTCAGAAATTTAGTTTGTTGCGTTGATGATAGTAGTTTGACAGTCTTTTAAATTATGCACATATGTTTAGACTTGGTGCGTTCAAGAGCTTAACATATTGTATAGACATATGTGTATAATTGTTAAATACTAACTGTCTATGTTGACGCCTAGTTGTCTTGGTTATTTTGTCATAGGGTTGCTGTCTCATTGACGTTTACCCGATATCTTTTATTCATACTACAATATAAAAATAAGATGCGGTATGATTGCCAATGAGACAACTATCCACCAAAGTTCAAATAAAGTGGATGTAAGCAAATATAGGCAACCGTACGGCCCTCAACATTGAAAAAAAACCCGTTACCATATGGTCGGCTATAAAAGGGCCACGACATGAAAAATATGAAACAACTAACGACCTAATTTATAACATATCAATGGCTTTTGCGGTTCTAAGGCTGCGAACGATGATATGCATGTTACATTTTTAATGTTAAATTTATATGTATTATACATTCTGTCAAATGAAAGATTCAGTAAGGGCCTCAAAATATTTCTAACTTTTTTTTGTTTTTTTGTTGCATTATGAATTAAAGAGTGCGGACATACGATAATGAGACAGCAAGCCAATGACACAACCAAGCAAAAGACACCAAGAGGTCTTTACTGGTACATAAAATCATGAACATGATGATAGAATAATTCCTAGTCTCTAAATTTCAACTCTTCGTTTTCAAAAAAAAAATTATATACTATATGTACAGTGAACAGCAATGTTTTTAGGTGAAAGGTCAAGTAAAATAGACAAGTTTATGTTAACAAAATTCAAATATTTTGGCTAAATCATTAAACGCGCAGCCTGCAACTACAAATATGAAGGTTTCAATTCTGCTCTAACAGAAAAAAGCTAATAGGTTTCTTTATAAGGAAACACGTATTAAATTGTCTTTTAAAAATAAAGAACGAATATACTAGTCTCAAAGATAGTCTTGTAAGTGCTTTTCACATATAAAAATGGGTTTCCCATGGAGTATATAATGAGTATTGAAATAACACTTGGACATCTCTTAAGTTTACTATTCATCCAAAGTAATGGGTGAAATTTAGTGTATCCAAAGAAACCTATGTCTTGAAATAAATCTGTTATTCATTTCAAACGACTACTTTTAAGTGAACAGTGTACATAGAAGGACACATTGCAAGTATTTCAAATTCACATACAGATAATTTTCAAACAGATCTAGCCCCTATGTTCATTGGAGGTGCAAGAGGAGGGATGAGGCCACAACGCAACCCTCAAACAACAAAACAAACTCAAAAAGCTGTGCCTACGAAACGAAAGAACTTCGATGTCTCTATTGACATTGGTAATATTTCTCTGAAGGTCAAAAGTGGTAACCTGGCAGAGCAAGAGGTAACTCTTTGAAATTTAGACTGAATTCTTTTATTTTGTTTTATTTACATTTTACATGCCTTATCTTTTATTTTCTTTCATCTCAGTGCCGGAGGCAATTTACTCTATCCTATGGCTCGATCAGCGGGAGACAAATTAAAAATCGATAATTTAAAGGACAATGAATTGAATTTACATCAATTATTTTAAAAACAATGGTCAAGTTATACGTTTTGGACGAACTTTTTCATAGACTTGTCAAAATAAAAATTACATCTTTCTTCACTTTTATTGTTTTTCTAATAACTGTCACGTTTTTATGTACATGACGTCATAGTTATATACTTTCAATTTAGAATATTGGGAGAAAATAATGACAGAACATTCAGTATAATCAATTACACAACACACAGCTGCGAGGTTGATAGAGTAGATTGTTACTCCTCGAAAAATCATTGTCAACCTTGGCTTCGCCTCGGTTGACAATCTTTTCTCGGGGTAACACCCTCTCAGCTGCTATATATATATGTGTTATTAATATAATATATCTGTACACAGCTTTTATTTCACCGAAGTCGTGATGTGAGATGATTATAAAAAAAACAACTAGCGTTTACATGTCCTTCTAAAAGATCCGTTTTGGGACCAACCCCTTTGATTCAAAATTAGTACCTTCTCTTGTCAACAAAGATATTAGTAACCTATTGTTTGTACTGAAAATTGAGTGTTTTCCACCGTATTATGAACATCTTCCTTATGTATATGGACCTATTGAAACAAACTCTACAAATATGAAGGTGGTAATAAAGTGCTGCTACTTTTGTGTAAATCAGAAATTCAAATAGCCGCCATTGAAGCCCTATGAAAAATACATTTTGGTTTTCATTTCAAGAACGAGTGCACCATAGAGGTCAAAACAAACAAAGTTTCCCAGGAAACTAATTACCAAGTGCTATTATCTTAGTCTTGATGAAAAGTCCAATATATGGCCTCTTTTGGCCAAAATGAGATCTAATTGGTCTGATTTTCAAAGATCTTCTTCTCAAGAACAATTATCATGACTATAGTGATTGAAACCGAAGTTGGCATATATATTCCGTGGAAGTCTTTAACAAGTGTTTTTATTTTGACACTGATGGGGAATTTAATGTTGCCACCAACAATATCCAATAACACTGAAACTACTGAAAAACGTTTTGTTATTCATGTTAAATCAGACAACATATTTTTCAGAAGGTACTCTCCTAGTATTTTGCCAATATCACTTATGACTATTGTACCATGTTTGAATATGATATATTGATATATTTTAAAGGAAGCAAGCAATTTTTTTTTGCTATAATGCAAAATAATTATATATTTATTTGAACGTTAAGCAATCACCATGCATGTATTTTTATCCAGCAATTGTTATTTTGTAGTAATTACGAACTATATATTAAATATCTTTGTACCCAGTGAATAGACTGCTGTTATTCCTATTTGGTATATGTCATATGTAATAAAAAATATGTCTGACCTAAAAAATAAATAGATTAAAAACCTTATACAAATTATTTTCTATCACTTTTGATTTAATTTGTCGTTTTTGCGTCAGGGCAATCTGCTTTAGTTGTTTGTTTTTAAATTCCAAATGTTTTGCTGTGCGAGTAATGAACGTATAACTCTAATTTAAGTCTGAAACAAACAAGTTTCACATTACAAAATTTCATACAAAAGTTAACTCCCACTTGAAATGGTCATTCATGTTTCTTATTTCCCTATATTTTAAAGTCGAACAATGATTAAGAAATGAATGGTAAGTGCACATTTTACAGGTAAATAAATTTGATGTTTTAATATTGTATAATAAAAAACATGGAAAACCAGACAAAACTTTCTTCATACTAAAACACACAAATAAAAGTTTAGTCCGTAAGCTATACCTATCCAGTAATGGAGTCGAATATAAATGATAGCTTCTTAATTTTTGCAGTGTCGATTGAAGAAACTAAGATTTTGTTTTCTAAAATTTTCCAGGAAAACATGTCCAACGTATATGAATACTGACATATTACAGGAAAGTTTGGTTTTTATTTCCTGTTTTAAAGTTAAATTTAGAACAATGTTGGTAGTATATTATTGAACACATGCTATGACATCATTCTATATTTATTTTTTTCTATGAAAAATGAATTCAATTTAATAGTAGCATAGTACACTGGCATACTAATGCGAACGTTGGGATATCGTTTGAATTATCCATCCATAAGCTGCCCGTATAACTAAATTGGTGAAGGGAAACTTAATGTAAATGTTGTGTACTGAATTTAGTTGTACAACTTTTTATTTCAAATTTGGATCAGCTTGCATGTTCCCATTGTCAAAAAAGAGTTTTGATAGTTATTCGTTTAATGCTAAAAGTTCCAAAAATAAACATGCTTTCCACAACTTCTGAAGACTGGATGGATTTTAATGAAACCTCGAAGAGTCCGTGCTGTAGTAAATTCCATTTGCACACGTTTTGATCAAAGTACTGGGCAAATAAACAGGTTGAAACAGACATATTTTACTTTTTCATGTGTTAGAACGATAAATCTGTCTGTATCTCATGCCTGTGGTTTCATCTAAATTCGTCGGTGGTCTCGTGCTTACCATACACCTTATCGCTACTTAGTCCAATCCGGAAAAAACAGTCATTTAGACAACTTCCTGTTTGGTTCAACAGGCAAAAAACAAAGGTCATCAGTAAGGAGCTGAGGGAGGGAAAAATTTAAAAACCGATCAATATGAAACTTTGATAGATCATGATCCACTTTTTCGAAACTCAAATTATAGCAAAAAAAATATTTTGTTTGAAGTATTTACGATGTTTTAAATAGGTTTCATTAAAAAGTATCATGCATGGTGCATTGTTTAAACAGGGTCCCAGATAGCTTCAACTTGATGAAAAAGTTGTGTAATTTTAGAACTTATCCGGAATGGAATAAATAGCGATTAGGTGTATTAATCCCCGACCGAGTCAAACCAAAATACTTGACAATTGGTATTTGCTGTTGACTAATTTTTCAAAACCTACCTATTTGATTTATAGTTAATTTGTTCTTATCCTGAATATGCAGGAAATATTTGCCATTGGACGTTACGCTATACAAAAAAAAAAAACAATCAAGCATTAAAATGACTCGGTAGTAACAATGTTATTTGTAGTTTCTGGCTAGGTGGGTTAGATACATGTAAACTGCGTTTAAATATTACATTAAAATTTTAACCAAACTAAACTTGATTTAACTTCCGCGTCCGTTTTCTCGATAAGACTAATTGACTGAAAATCTGGAGCTAGATAAATGTAACTATTGGTTGTTGTGTCAATAAACACAACAGCGTATCGATCTCCACAATCTTAAACTCGGTTTAACATGCAGGTAATCATATTAAGAATTAGCACTGATCAGGCGTTCGTTTACACGAACCATGTTATTGTTAATCATAACTCTTTCAATTTAGTTTTAAAAATGAAAACAACACTTCATAAATTTCATGCGTCCGAAAGAAGCGCTTTTCTGGATTTACCTTCATCAGGAACGCTCAATTTCGAATTTTTGAAAGCCAATGACAGACACGTGCGGATCAAGGATTTTGAAAAAGGGGGACCCCTGACAAGCCAACGTTTGGAGTGATACTTGCAAAAAAAGACTGCATTTAACATATATGAAGCTTCACAAGGGGGGCCACGCCCTCCCCCTTAATCCGCCTCTGAATGATGTAAGAGAATATTTGAACAGCCATATGACCAAAAAGGAATTAAACATAATAGCCAAATCCATCCAAGGTCAACTTTTCCTGAGGGAGTTGAAGTCTTAGTTTCTTAGTTCTTTTAATTGTATCGGTCTTGTTTTAGATTATGAATTAATTTATTATGTCTTTTTTTTAAATTACAGAAAAGTATATAAAAAAAAAGAAATGAATGCAAAGATATAGGAAGAAAACATGTTCGTGCTTTTACCGCTTATGAAGTCTTTACACTATGTGTACTGATACTATAATTTGGAAAACATGTTTTATTTATTAGTTGTTATAAACATGGCTTTGAACTAGCTTTCAGTAATTGCGAGTTTTTTAATATCCGTGTATTGTGTCTTTTGTTTTTATAATACTTGTTGCTTGTACTTGTGTCGATCTGGCGTATCAATCCATTTTAACTGATTTCTAACAGTTGTTTCTTGTAACACCATTGTACCAGGTTAGAGGAGGGTTGCTCACATGTAAGTTTAACCCCATCGCATTTTATTTTTGTGCCTGCCTCATGTTAGGAACCTGTTATTCTTGTAAGCCTTTTATTGCTAACTAAACGGTATAAGTTTCATTGGCAATTAAACCACATCTCCTTATTCTATGTTGTTATAGGTTTACATTCAGATCATGCAAGTTATTTTTCTCTTTCAGGCTGATGTCATAGTAAATAGCGTTGCTACTGATCTCGACTTAACAAAAGGTGTTGGTTCAAGTGCCATTTTTGCAGTTGGTGGTCAAGTAATACAACAAGAATGTGATGATAATTATTCAGATGGGATATCATTTGGTGATGTAGCTATAACCTCTGGAGGGCAGCTTAAATGCTCTAAAATATACCATGTAGCGCTACCTAGCTGGAATAACAATGAACAGGTACGTGTCAATGTAAACTAAGCCTGCATATTGAATTAAATTGAATTGTATGCAATAGAGGTGTACTTACAATATCCCATAAAAGAAACCATAAACATGATCCACGTTATTGAATCTGTGACATGGGTTATTATCTATTCATTTGGGTTCCAAAAAGAACTTTAAAAACACTTTTCATCATCTATATTGAAAGGTACTTCCTCTACAATAGATTATATATGTAATTTCATGAGTGTAACACAAACTGAGTCTGAGTATAATTATCCCATAACGACCAACCTGTTACTACTACTTAGAGAAAACCCAACAAAAGCGACATACAAGATTCATTATATTTAAGAAGCGAATTGGGAAATACATTATACTTAAAGGAATGCAAGTTGTCGTTTTTCCTACATACATTCTGTAAATACAGTCTTAAATCGGGCTTCAAATGTATATATAACATATAGCATTATCTACGTAATATATTAACAATTCTCTAGTATTCGATTACATTTCAAAATACAGTTCTATATCTGCTTCAACTGAATACTGAGTGGAAAACTGTGCACTTTTCGTAATATAGATTAAGCAAGGTATATGTCAACTAGAATACAAGATAAGTAAATTCTCGTTACGCAAGAAATGACTACAATGCATAAAAAGCAGGAAACTTATAACTGTTTTAATATTTAACAGTGTAATTACTTTTAGAATATCTTAAAAGTGGGTCAATTCACATGAGATATATTACGCTAGGTACTCTTTGCATTGTGTATTTATTTCCCCACTCGTATTATGAACGTTAATTTTTACAAGAGTTGTTAGCCGCGCATGGCCGTTCATCGCTTTTAAGTAAATTTTGTTTTCACAAGGAGGTAGATACTGAAGGACGTTATCAAAATGAGGTATAAACTTAAGGACGTAATCACAATGAGGTAGATACTTAAGGATGTACTTAGGTCAGGTTTAGGAATTTGTGTCCGATGTTCGGACTCCTTGGTTTTTTTCCTACGATACAGGGTAAAATATTTTGCCCCATAAAACCCATTTTTCTTTTCATATAAGACTTTAATAGCTCATAAAAGGTCATTTACCAAAATTTAAGCAGATTCTAGATTTCTTTTCTTTCGATTTGAGACCCATTTTTTTACGGCAAATAATACCAATGCAAATATAAGGTAAAAGTCCGAGTCAGCCTTTTCCTGCCATTTAAAAAAAATTAAATATCTCGAAAAGAGCTCCATAACCTATCAATATTTTTATGTTATTTTGTTCCTTAACAAATGCTTTTCTGACTTATAGTATCAATTCTAAATTCTAGATTTTCTTAATTTCACCCTTAAGGACATTGCTGAACCTGATCTTAAACTTTGAACCATTAACATGAAAGCATACATGATACACATCGTGAGATAATCGTTTCCGAGTATTAAAATACCCGAGATAACCTGTTTATGATGCATACTGTATACATCATCGATTGTATTATATTTTATGACCCTGTCGGTTTGTTTCTGTGAATTGGTTGTGAGCACACAGTTGTCATATACTAAATTAAATACTTAAAAAAATAAATAAAAGGAATTTATAAAATTTTGGACAATAAAGCAGACAATACTATTATAACTACAAAAACTCGACTCGTCCGACAAAATGGTCTGACTTGTAACATGCACAAAATGTGGTAGGGTCAAATCAGTTTTACGTTCACACAAGTGACCATTCATTTGCTTATCCAATCACCAAATATGTTTTAAACAACCAAGGACATAATTTTGAATGCAGGGTCAATATGTGCTCACAGCTACAGGAAGAAAACTTGTGGGCTAAATACTTGTTTTTCTTTCCAAAACGCAACAACAAAAATACAACAACAAAAACAAAACGAAAAACGAGAAAAAAAAACCAAAAAATTCTGTTTTAAGTTTATGATATTTACTACCGGTAACAACCACGTCTTGGTTGAAAGACATCACGTTAGTGTGTCCGAAATGATTTTGGACAAGTTTCTCAAACTGCCTGGTACTTTTGTGACCAACTTAAAAAATCTTACCTATTTGCGGATTAAACCACTCGGACAATATTGGTGACGGCGAATGTAAAGTATGATGTGCTTAAAAACATTTTTTTAAACATTTAAAGCAAAGTCAAATCGTCCAAAATTTTGATACGATTGATGTTGTGGATTATATTCAGGAATTAGTTGCTTTGACACAATTCTAATTATATTTCCTACGGTATCTGTTAATGAGTTAATAATTATTTTATTATCAGGAAATACAAGCAATCTTGAAAAAATGTTTCGTGCTAATGGGACAATCTCACGTAGCTTTGAGAAGTGTGGTAATACCACCACTTGGGCATGGGTTTTTGGGATTTCCAGACGATGTTATTGCAAGAAATATGATATCGACAATTGTAGAATTTGGGAAGAATCCACAGATACACCATGCTTCAGTGTCCATTGTATGTCACAGAAGGCAACATGTAATATTCAAGGTGAGCACAGCAACATTACGCAAAGTTTACTTATATGCTTAACTTTACTGTTAAAGACAATTTTGGCCAAAAAAGAGGAAAAGTTAACATGTTTTAGTAAAATCTGCATTAAATGATTGTTTGAATGAATGTTTTTTGCTTAACGCATTTTCTATCATTTTCCTTCTAAGCAGGATGTATAAAAATTAGTAAACGCATGCGTGGTTTGTATGCTCCGAAGATTTTATTGTTTATTGGATATACGTTTTTATGTGTATCTAAAAAATATGTATCAAATGCAAAATGTACCATAGTTCATTCGACTTTCTGTTGTAAAAAGTGTGAGGTATCTACACATACACTATGGGCGTATTAAAGGACTTTTGTCTGGTAAGCCAACCACACAACAGATAACCATCACAGTTTTTGATGTTGCTACTGATTGGCTAATCAATCAAAAATGAGGACGAAAGTTTCGACAATTACATCAACTTAGTTAGTCTCGGGCAGATAGTTGTCTCATTGGCATTTATACCACATCATCTTATATTTATACATATTTGATTTCAAGCCATACTGCATCAGTAAAACATAAAATTTTATTTTAATTAATAACTTTTAATAACTCAAAATTTATATTCCCACATATCAACTTTCAATATACAACTGTACAACGGTATATTAGTATTAACAGTGTAGTATTTCCCAAAACACTTCATTGTAACTCGTGTCTACATCAATCAGAACTAAGGAAATCAAATATATCACATTAACTCCGTAATGAATATATATCACTTGAGTAAACGTAGAATATGATTTTGTGAAAACATCTAATTTCATCGAGGCCGTAAAATTTAACACGTACTGCGAAAACACACATTTGCCATCAGCATTACCGGAATTAATACTATCTAGAGCAGATTTGTACATTTCCATGCTTTCTTTTTTGTCTTGTGATTCCAATTTACATTTCTTTGGCGGGCCTCCTGGCTCAAGAATGTTTGAAATATCCATTTGCATTTCCGTTGAAGCTCGTTTATATTTTCGAACGCTTTCAACAGATCTGTGTCCGGTTCTATTCATTATCTCTTGCTCCGGAACGCCAGCTTGATAGAGAGATGTTGCACACGTCCTTTTTCCGGAATGGTTTGTGAATTAACCTTCGATTCCTGCCTCAAAACACATGCTTTTCATTAAATATTGATGACAATTTATTTACACCTAATGGCTGTGAACTGAATTTGATTTCACAACCTTTCTCTAAAGGTCGTCTGTAAAACGAGTTCCCGTTCATTTCAGAAATAATACTTAGGTAATCTTCATAAATCTTAAATAAATTAAGATTTTGGAAATGGTGCTTTATGTTTTTTTGCAGTCAGGTGTCTCTGATGAAGTCCTCCTGAAACACCGAGGATAAAAGATATTTAATACAAAATTACTAGAAACGGAATTAAATGTTTATGTGTGTATTCTAGTTCATGTGTCTTGACTTCTTAAAAAAAGTTTATAAATATTTTAATCATGATATCAAAATTATAAGTGAAGTTTGTATACATAATCATTCGGGAAAACTTGCATAAGTATCTTGATGGGGTCCTTCATTTCAGTATTCTTCAATTTTCATGCCATTTTTTTCTCTATTTTTTTTTATATTTTAGCACCTCATTATTCTCTAGTCTTTGTACGTTTTGCCCGTTTATATTCTCTTTTCTGCAAACTCCCTTCAACACCCTCATGCATGCCATGACTTATAATAAGATAGATAATACGATAAGATATTTTATAGGTTTCGAATCCCAAAGCATTCATGATTGGTACCAAAAAATGAAACACTTTATAAATTTCATGCGTCCAAATCGCTTTTCTGGATTTTCCTTTTTTAGGAATGCTCAAGAGTGAAAGCCGAATATTTGAATTTTGACAATGTATACATTTACGTCATTAGATAAACATAAAGATTAAACATTGAATGACAATATCAACGCGGACCTCGAAGAAGACACTTTGATTTTCCGAAAATTAACGATTCCACCTTGACCTTCTTATTACAGTACAACCTAATTGTTAACTTTTAATTTTTAATAATACATACCTTTGTAGGCTTTGCTAGCTCTTCCAGAAAAGGCAATGTAATGTCCATTTTGATCTTTTCCAATTTTAAACTGATCTGTTGACAAGTTCCTGTGTTCGTCTACACCCCTTAAACCAAACAGTTCTCCCAAAGAATATCTTCACTCTCTTAGTTAATAGGTTCTGCTTGTTTTGGAGTTGTCCCTATTCCATCTGCCGTTAGCTGTGTCATTCTAGCACTAAGCGAACGCCTAAACTCATAAAATTGCGACTACTTTTCGTCCAAGAAATTGATATGAATTTCATTTTCATGTAGGTGCCGCAATATTCCTACACACAACATGTACAATGTTTTCGGTGGGTACGGTTTTCCGTCTTGCCGCCTCGTTTCAATCACAAAACGGCTCATCCATTGATTAATGTCACCAACTGTAAATCTTGTGAGCTCCGGAATGGCACAACTCATGCTTGCTATGCGCGCACTTCTCCAATCATTGAACGTAGATATACTCCAATTTGTATTCTTTCTGGTGTTTTTACTCTCGGTAGATTTAACTAAAACGTCAATGTCCATATCGTTAACGAAGTTACCATACCGTCCATTATTAACATGACCCTCTGCTTTTACCGCGACATTAGTTTCCGGCATGATGATTTTCTCCAACTGTTCAATTACATTGTCGGCTGTTATTGGAACCTGTGTTAACTGAAAATCTAATTGAGAAATGTCTACCTCGTGGTTCACATCCATGTCAACTTCGTACTTATCTAACGCCTGTGAAAGGGTTAAATCGTCCATTTTTTCAAAAAACAGTGTGTTCATTTTCCATATCAGTACATATTTGGGATAAAGTAATGTCGTCAACACTTTGATCCCAGTGGGCATATAAAAAATCCATTTCTAGTAAATTCACTTTGGCATTATCCATTTTGCTCCATACACATCAAACCGCAAACTGAAATTCTACCGCGGGAAAACAACCGTTGAGCTAGCTCGATGACGTCGAATGAACGTTTGGCACATGTGATTTACCAAATGGCACACGATTGGTTATGTGTGATACACGATAGGAGGGTCTAAATTGCACTCGAAAGCAGAGCTTTCTCGTGCAATTTAGTCCCTCCTATCGTGTATCTACACATAACCAAACGTTTGACATTTGGTAACTAAAACATAGAGCACGTGTATAAATAATTTAAGTACTGTGACACTTTGCTTCAAAATTCCAAACCTTCGAGAACAACTTTATAGAAAACTGTTAACTCAATGTATTATGTATGTAATCATCTGTTTATTTCAGGCACTAAAGACAGAGGTTAAAAGATTAACAGGTATAACAGAATATATTCATTCTTTATTGTCTGGGATGGGTAGCTTTCACTCTTAAATTATGTAAAATGGCATAAGTGTGGAATTTAAGATAAAATTAGAAATACAAATTTGAAACTAAGGAAGAAAACACGATCAAGAATAAATAACAGGCAGCAGTAATTCGTCGATGTTCAAAACACGTAAATAATTTTGGAATATATCAAGCCTAGAGAAAACAAACGGAACCGAAAAACCTTCAAATGAATCGAGACATGGTTCAGGGAAAGGGTAAGCATCTCCTGCATATATCTTCCAAAATGCTAATTCCTACCAAGTTATCATTTGATGTCTTTGTAGTCAACAGTCTGAACAGTCTCTTAGGAATAATCATTATTATAACCATGATAACTGATAATTATAAACACAGACCTATAATGGAAGAGGAAAGTCTGTATCAGAATGTGATCTTTGATTTCGGATGATTTAAAGATTTTGATCGGTACTTACACGACAAAACACTTTCTGCTGAATATCTCTGTGCATTGACGATATGGTTGTGCTATTAATAATTTCTTAATTAGCATCTGTAAGTTAAATCGTCTCAGTCGATTGTTTGGTAAATTATTCCTTTTAACTGAATTTCTTTCTATTCATGTCTTTATTGCGTGTCAGAGCCAATTTTTAAACTAAAAAGCATATTGTTTGTTTTTGTGTTCATAGATTCATAATATAATTCTGCATATTGGAGAGAAATACAATGAATGTTAGCTTCAATTTGACCCAAATATAATAGAACAATTACGGAAATACTCAGTTCAGGGCGGTTGAAACCCATGGCGACTAGACATTAGCGATCAAGTAAAAATTATTAATAATTACGATTTGATTTCGCTTTTTAGATAAAACAATCTTCTAAGAATGTGATTACTATGAAGTGGAAATGGGGGAATTGATAAACGATATTTGAATATCGGTTAACTGTTGTCGGCAAAATTAACTTATTTTCTTCTTCGTGATAAATGCAAAGATTCTTAGCAATTATCTTTATTGTCACACCAAGAAGATATTTTGGATGAACATTATGACTTTTGGTGCATGTATAAAGCAGACAATATTCGCTAAATTGTACATTCTTAGAAATGTCATGCAAAGCATATACAGTCTATGACAATTTATCATAACAAATTTTTACAGTCAATTAAATGTAATTGTACATATACATTTTACAGTTGTATTAACTATTTTATGCAAACAATACAACATAATTATCCTATAAAACAAATAAATTGTAATGAAGCAAATAATATTAGTTAATATTCAGAAATCATTAGGAAACTTGAGATCCATCTCGCTCAGGCAAAGTTGACCTTAGGTGGATTTGGCTATTATTTTAATGTCCCTTTATAGTCATATCGCTACTCGTGTATTATTCTTAAATACATTGTATTTGCCTTTCAAAGTTTTGGGTTTGCGCTTGTCCGATGAAGGTAAATCTATATAGAAAAGTATATCAAGAACCATAAATACTGCTTATAAAAAGTTTAAATCCTTAGCAGGTGTAAAAAACATTTCTATCTTTCTATAATTAATTTAGTGCAGCTGCATATGGATATGTATAAAGGCGATCTCAAAACTCCTTCGTACTGGACGAAGTACGACCAAACAAAGACTCTTAGAGAATGGAATTGTCACCAGATATCTGCTAAGTGTTGGGAACAGGTGCAAGTAAGCCCAGAAGAACGTTCTGCAATTGAAAAACTTGTTATGGATACATGGATGAAGCAGTTTGTTGGACATGGTCGCGATTCACGGGGACTTAATGCATTAAATTACGCTAACATACAAATTCTTGACGTAGAAAGAATAGAAAACCCATTATTAGCAGAAAGGTATTTCCAATGCAGAGCAACAATGTTTCATAAGGTCGGACAGTTAGAAAGAACTTTTACAAGACTTAAAGACATACCGTATGCAAAAAATGGAGGTATTTTGACCACGAAAAAAGCAGGGAAAACCTTAACACGTGAAATGTGCCAAATGGTAAATGAACATTATTTATTCCATGGCACAACCGTGGGACGGATAGACGTTATAGCGGCTCAGGGTTTTGACAATAGATTGACTGAAAACGCTATGTTTGGACCAGGTGTTTATGCTGCTGAAAGTTCAACAAAAAGTGATCAATACGCAGGTTAGTACAATTTGTAATTATGTACTGTACTTGAAAACAAGGCATATATCTCATACGCGTCTTACCGCTCTTATTACTGTTCGTGCATTATAAAAGTATCACATGATGATGCTTATTGAAAAGAATGAATACGGAATAATAATTTACGCCACAAATAACCAAGCCAAAAAAAAAAATAACAACCCTCTAAACTCGCAATAAGAGCTTTAACATGGACCAAACGTTCACATATCACTGCAAGATTAGGACGACCACATGCACCAGTTTTAGTGGAATTATATGCTAGATGTTAACAAAAAAGTCACAGATGTTAATTTTAGCTTTGTAATACACAGCATTCTACGAACGTACATTCATGATATTTAATTCTGTAGTCCAGCAAAATGAAAAAAAAAGGTGAAATTTGTATCGTTAAACTGTGCATAGTGCCCGAAAAAACCTAACATATCGAAAGCCTCGAAGCCTAAAAAGACAAGTTCTTAAAGTACAATCTTCAAAATAGCTTTTAGGTCATCTGTCATCTTTGTTATAGATTTATACTTATCCTCTTAATGTAGCTTCTTAGTTTTATAGTTAAAACGTAATATAACTCCCCTTTTCAGTACTAAAACGCAAATACAATAATTGGTCTGGACATAAAAGGAAAAAGATTAAAGCCATTGATTTTTTTTTGCTAAATAAAAATGATATAATTTATGCAATGATATATTCTCTCTAAGGTAATAATGTAGATTAATCCAGAAAAGTGCTTCAGACACATAAAATCTATTTGAATGAAATGAGATGTTTAAAAGTATTTTAGGGCTGTAAGAAAGCAACCAAACGACACAAAATAGACCTGTAGATGTTCTCATACGGTTCGACAATAGATACGTGTTAATACAATATGTAATGCTGCAAATCTCCCTTATTCTAAAAATTGTGAATAAATTTTAAAAGAGACTATCTAAGATCTAAAACCACCACGGTCACCAAAGATCTAAGTTACAAACATAGAGAAAATATACCAAAAGATAACAACCGAAGTGGCTCTGGAGTGTGTCAGGCGAATAAATATATTTATGAATTGTTAAACTATACGCATGGCGGGTGCTACATGGAGTTCAAACGATTCCATCATTTTGTTTTGTTTTTAACCTTGATTTGTATCTTAATGCATTTATGAGATTTGAACATCAATAAACTACTATTGCCTCTATATATATTACATCTATCATACGCCTTTTTAGCTCACCTGGCCGAAAGACTAAGTAAGCTTTTCTCATCACTTTGCGTCAGTCGTCGTCTGGGCCAGATTCGACTAGATTTGGCCACAATCATCATTTGGTTATCTAGTTTAAAAAATTTGTCCGATGACCCCGCTTGCCAACCAAGATAGCCGACATGGCTAAAAATAGAACATAGGGGTAAAATGAAAGTTTTGCCTATTACTTTAAAATAATGATATAAATAGAGAAAATTTGACAAGGGCAGAAATGTTTTGAATGTTGAAATCTATCTAGTGTCCATTTACTGCTAAACTGTTATACGACTTTTTATAGGAGTTATCGCCCTTAAATGACAAATTTTCCCAACTTTTAACATTATTGCCTATTATCTTGAAAATTATAATAGATAGAGACAAACTTTGTATAGCTAAAATGATCAGTAAGATAAGTTCTGCAAATAAGTCAGCATGATTGAAATCGTCAGATGACGCCTTATTGGAGGTATTGCCCTTTAATGACGATTTTTACTATTATTTTGCGTTTTTGCCTTATATCTGATAAAGGATAATTGATAGAAAGAAACTTGAATAGGCAAAAGTGATCAACAAGACAAGATCTACAAACAATTTGAATAGTTGAAATCGTCTGATGACCCCTTATTTGAGTTATTGCCCATTAATGATGGTTCTGACCAATTTGTTTCCGTTTTTGCCTCATATCTGAAAAACTGTGATATATAGATAGAAACTTAGATAAGCCAAATGATTAGCAAGACAAGCTCTACAAATGAGTGAACATGGTTTAAATCGTCTGATGACCCCTTATTGGAGTTGTTTTCTTTAATAAGGATTTTTGTCATTTTTTTGCGTTGTTGCCAACTATATGAAAAACTGCATTAGATAGTTAGAATCTTAAATAAGCAAAAATGATCAGCAAGACTAGATCAGCAAAGACGAGATTTTTGTCATGACTCCTATTCTAGTCCACAAAGATGGAGAGTATCCATTGTTGAAGATGCACATAGACCTAGGTGAGCAACACAAGCTCTTTAAAGTCTCTAGTTTCATTGTAATCTCAATTAGTGAAATAACATACAAATTGAACATTACAGAACGTACAAATAAGGGAGAAAGTATGTTAATGCAATGTGTTTTTAATCTTTGAATTCCAAAATCAAAATCTATTATAAACGATGAAATGTTTACTGATAATATGTCATGTCAATGTCTACCAGTATTAAATGGTGATTAATGTGTCTTTTTGAAATTATAGTTTTTTTTAATAACAACATTTTTTAAATCTTAATTTGAAACAAGACATGTTTTTGCTTGATTTACTCTGGGAGTTGTACAGGACTATGTACCCTTATTCTTTTAGTCATTACTGAATAAATTTGACACCGATATTCAACAGCCGACATTACAATTAAGGCTGGCATGGTTTCATTTCAACATATCAAGAACTGTGTAAGCCTGTGTCAGTAACTGCGAACAAGATTGAAGGTTGTGATATTTATAATTGTTCTGATTTTACGTTTTTTTATGTTATCTTCTTAATTGTTGTGCTTTTACGTGTTTTATTTTAAAGTTAACTCCTTAATTATTATGCTTTTACGTGTTTATATTTGTGTTCTCTCCTGAATCGGTCTTTGTAGGCAGGTTAATGACCTTTTCTAGACTAGTTTGTATTAGTCGTATACTTCCTGGTATGTATAGTTTGTTGTTCTATTAATCGAAATTAAACAAAGGAGTGTTGAGTTCTAAAAGAAACTTCTTTCATTTGTCAGGGCAAAATGATGAAAGTAGCCGGTGGTTATCTCCTGTAATATCTATAAATACAATACAGGATAATTTATGTCCTTCTATCTGCTTTATAAAATAAAATTGATGCTGACATTCCAATTTGTACCTAAATAGATATAAGACATTCAAATCTGTAACTTAATAGATATAAAACATCTGTTCTAAGGTCGAATGTCATTAATAAATACAACTTTTATTGACAGACAAGATTATAAATCAAAATGATTTTATTAATGAAAAAGTATAAAGTACAGTTGTAATAAACATGAAGATAACATGTAAACAAATAAAAATAAGTGCATGTTATTTAAAAAAACGACGTGAGAGTCCAGTCTTTTCTAGTCCGGTCCACAGTCCAGTCCAGTCCAGGCAATACACTTTGCCCGCCAGACGCGCTTTTCGTCTACAGAAGACTCATATAATCTTTTTTCTGTCATTTAGAGAATTTGGCAGATCTTTGACTGTCTTTTAATTTTATTCAGTATTTTTCTATAGATTCTGGCCGATTTATAGAGCGTACAATATTGTATTGACACTTGTATATATTGTTGATAACTGTATGTTGACCTCTAGATATGATCAAAATTATTTCAGGGATATTCGTAAATGATACAGCCACCCAGCGACACTAATAACCCAATCACATCTAGAGGTCATCGTAAAGTCCTCAAATAATGACAGGTGGCGAATAGTTAAGGTTCATTACTTGCATTGGGACAGATGTCATTTGTGTCGTTCGATAATTGTCTACTGTTGATGATTTCATTTTGTGTGTAGACCTGTTAGATATAATCAAAAATGATTTCATGGATATTCATAAATAATCACGCCGTAATATAGCCTTTTTGTGCTGTTGCGGCGTAAAGCAATCACCAATCAATCAATCATTCATAAAAAATGTAGATACCTAATGACCCTCACACCAAATCACACCAAGCTGTCAGCTTAAAATCTTCAAACAATCAAAGGTTTCTTACTTGGGACTGATGTCTTTTGTGTCGTTCAATTGTTGTCTCAATGGCGTATGCCTCGTATCTTCTTCAATTATAAAGTTATATAAAACAATACACGACTTTTGAGTCTATCTATTTTGAATTCTATGAAAAGCCGTTTAAACCTGTCCGTCAATATAACTAAGAATGATAGAAGATGTGACAACACGTTGATCAAAGAAATAATGTGAAGGAATGGTGACAACCAAACGTTTGTTAAATACTACATTTATAATTCTTTAAGGAATTTTTGTTCATAACCAAAGTCGTCTCCAAACATAGTTGCCACATGAAAATTTTCTCCCAAAAAATAAGAAATAGAAAAAAAACAAACTTAAACATCATGCTAGGGACCTATTGCTACTCATCTCTGCTGGGATAAAACTTTTATGGTCCATTTTTAAAGAACTTTGGTAGATAACTAGTATAATTTTAAACATTGTCGCGATCGTCCTGAACATGCATGACATATTTGCCACTGGACGTTTAAGCAACCAACAATCAATAAACATTGTCGCCACCGCTACTTAAAGCAGGAAACATGACCCATAAAGAAATCTGAAAAATCATGTTAAGAAGTAATTTGTGTGAAATGATGAATATCACTGCCTTTAAATATAATCTCTGTCATATTTCAGAATTAAGATACATATGATTTTGTTCCCTCTTTTAAACATGTTTCCTTGTTAAACTTTGAATACTAATTGTAGCCTCTTGTATTTTTTTTTATGGGGATAATAGCTTATTTTTTATTATCGCCCATATATAATTAGTTATAATTAATATTATTTTTGTCAATTAAACATTCTCATACAGATAAAAAATTAATACATCTGTCAGACATAGATCTTAAACAACCAATAAACTACAACATTTCGTAATTAAGCTATATAAATATCAGGAACTGACATTAATTTTATTTTGTATTAGAATTCTTCTGACTTAAATAGTAATGATGGAAGATTAATGTTACTAATAGATCCTATTACCCTTAATAA